CCGACTCATAGCGACCCCTCCTTGGGTTTCCGAGGCAGTATCACTACGGAAGTAGGATTGCCCAACCTTCCTTCCGAGGAGTGGCTGGTGGGTATTTATGCGTAAAATACTGTCCACGCCAAGGTGAGTAGTTAAGAATTGTCAATCTCTCTCTCTCTCTCTCTTTTTAACAACGCGTTTAGCACTTTGAGCCTCCAGGAAAGGTAATTTAGAGCTACTAAGTTAGTTCGTTTTAGCTAGCTCTTTAAAGTCTATATTAAGTCTCTAATTTATGGCCAGAAGAAGCGGAGGGGAGGCAGTCCTACTGTTTAAACGCCTGTTTCTCGAAGCGCTTCTTAATCTTACATTCGGCTTTTCTTAAATGGGAGTAAGGTTCATTCGATGTTTGTGTACTTTAAAGATAGTTGCCCAAATCAGTTTTTTCTTTCTTCAGGAGACCATGGCTAAATAGACACCCCAAGTCCAACAGACCATACAACACTCACTCCAGGGACACGCGAAAGGGTTAAAAGGGTGGCGGGGGGCGGGGCGGGCAGGGTTCTAGCCTGACACTAGGCAGGACTCCGGGAATTACAATAATTTTCCCTAAAGAAGCTGTTTAAATTCCTCAGATAATTGTCAATTGGTCCCTTCTCCCTTGATATTCATAAGATGAAAATATTCTAATATTAAAGAAATCAGTCAAGGAAGACAGAGTGATTTGTATTTGCGCAAATCTCCTTGTGCAAACCTTAAAACGCTCAATTCTTGCTATTTCAAATATGAAGACAAAGTGACCACCAGGTGGCGATAGATTACAATGTCTGAGAAGAAACAAGGGCTCCCAGGGGGGAGCAGCTCTTCAAGGAATACAGGCTTTTTTCAGTTCACCCTCACATTTCACAAAACAGGGCCCTTAATGCTGAGAGATGCTGCGGGACGTGGCCTGGAACACCCCAGGGTCTATTCTTTTGATGAAAGAGAAGGGCCGCAGGACATCCATTTCTTTCTCACATAGCTGCCTCCCAAAGGTGGCCTTAGGGAGGGAACTCTTTTATATTTGGCAAGAAGTTGTTTCACTGCAAACCTGGAGGTCAAAGAAATAACAGATCTGGACTGCAATTCTGACAGGGAGCTTTAAAGATGTATCTGGGTTTGCTGCTGTCCTCTCACCAAAAACTAAGGCAAAATTTGTCCTTTCCCAAAAGAGTGGGATGCAAGAATATCATTCCCCATATGAGATGCTTTATTAGAATAATGAGAGTCCCTGTATAGTAACATTTTATCCATTTATCTCAGTGAAAAAGTTCTTTACTAAAAATAACCCATTTTCAGAGGTAAGTGTCGGAGACTGTCATTTATGAGGAAGTCTGGAAGTTTCTGACTTGTTGTGGGGAATGATAAACTTCAGACCAGTTTCTTACCTAATCTCTGTCAGTTATGCAGGGGATAAAACTAGAATCTTAACAGGTGGGATTCGATCTTAACAGTCTAGGCCCTTTCATGCCAAAAAATTGATATCTAGGAGCTCATTGGAATTTATTCAGGCCTAATGTTCTCACCTGTTTAATTTGCAAATACCATGGGATTTTCCCAAAGCAGTCAGGCATCTGAAGCTCATTCTTTTATCTTACCCTCAGCTCCAAGCTTTCCCCACAATGGCCAAGTCAGGAATGATTTAGTCCATATAACTTGAAATCTTAAGCAGTTACTAAATGTGATGATTAAACAAGAATCATTATCTTCTCACAAGGGCTAAAGGCACATCATCTCAACTTCACAGTCAGTGAGAAGCAGCAAGAAACAAGCCAGGGACAA